TATAGTCTGATCTCATCAGTTCTTGGAAGCTAGCCAGGGTTGGTACTTGGAATGGTGACCACCAAGAAAGACTCTGCAGGCAATGGCAAACCACCTCTGCTTAGTCACTTGTCTTGGAAGCCCCTTGCTGGGGTCGCTGTAAGTCAGCTGTGACATGACAGCACTTTACACCCATGTACCATCCATGTACCACTTCAGTGGGAAGGTAACAGCGTTCCGTGCGCCTCGGTGTTTAGTCATGCCAGCCACATGACCACGGAAACGTCTTCAGACAGTGCTGGCTCTTCGGCTTTGAAACGGAGATGAGCACCGCAACCCTAGAGTCGGACTCGACTGGCTTTCGAGCAAGGGAACCTTTACCTTTGCCTTTACCATCCAGACTGGGATAACTGAGAGCAGCAGCTGCCGTTTACAAGGCAGCCACTCATGACCTACTACATAATTGTGACTGCTTTTATCTTTGAGAATATGTTAGTTCTTAGGCAAACATGGATTAGTGCCTGAGTCTCAGAGCAATAAGCACTGCTCCAATAGGGACCATATTAGCAGAAGGGAAAGGGTTAGGTAGACTGAAGAGGATTGTGCATGCGCATATTCATTACTTTAGTAAGCTCCCTTTAAGCTCCCCACAACTCCCCTTTGCGGCACCTTTCTGCTGCTGACCATCATGCTCAAGTCAGAGTTGTTACTGAACAGAGGGCAGGTAAGCAGTCCTGTTTACTTTGTTAATCAAGGTGAATAATGTAATCTTGAGTTAATCCCATTCCAGTGAGACTGAAACTTCTGATTGGGCATACGTCTGTAGCATCTTTAAAAAGTGGCCTTTTAGTTGCCATGAGGATGGCAATCCATTTTTACCCTGAACTAAAATTGGAGCCAAGCATTTTATTAATGGATGATCTGTACTGTTTGCTATTATAACTTCAGTAGAAGGGCAGCTGGGAATTGCTATGAAGGCACAATGCAGCCTTTTCTCACCTGCTGCCAGTGATCGCATAAAAGCAATTTGACTCATATTTCTTTCTCTCATGTGTGAATTAGACATGCTGCTGCTTGTTTGTGTTTTGAAACCAGATGGTAGAATGGGAGAGTTCTGTGTAATGGTTCATAGGCTTCATATATATATATCTTAATGTATTCTGGAGTAACTAAATGGACAGCCACAGGTAAATTAGTTAAGTTGTAAAGCATTAAAACAAGGAGGTAACGTATTCAAAGACATGAGAATGTTTTAACCAGAACTATGTATGTGCCTTAATCTTTGATAGGTTGTTACTCTTAGAAGGGAAGTTTTGGGCTAGCAGGCTTATTGCAATAGTTTACTACACAGCCTTCGTCAAAGGAAATGCATGAAATATGTTACAACAAGTTAGTGAATTCATACTGGAAAGGAGGGGGGGGGAGAACCAGCACTTTGCTTGGGTACAGTATGGTGCATTCAGCTATAAAATATATTGTTTGATGCTCCAAAGCAATAGACAGCTGATGTTGTGCGAAGGGTTTTATTTTAGAACCCATAAATATAGCTACATTTGTGAATTATAGATATTAAAAATGTAACTGCCTTTTTTTTTCCACTGAAGGGGTCTGAAGTATTTTGCGTAGGAGATCAGCTGACAAATCAGTGACAATGCCTTTTCCCCCCCCACTGAAGGGGTCTGAAGTATTTTGCATAGGAGATCAGCTGACAAATCAGTGACAATATTACTTCACCCAACCCTCTCAGGCTTAGCTAGAAATGCTTCAGGGTGATTTGAATGAAGCTGGTGTCTTGAACCACCACATGCTAATGCAATAATCTCTTTTAATTCTCACCCAAGTTAATTGTTATGGCTTAGCAGGTGTTAGGCTTCTCTTGGCTTTGGAGAGCTTGTCTGGCATGGGCAGTTCCTGACAGTATGTTCTATATGTTGAAAGACCCCTTGAGACAGGGAGGACAAAAGAACAGTGAGGTTATAGTGTGTATTATTTGTCTGAGATCTGAAAGCAATTTGATTGTTGGAAACAACAATTGGTTCATAGTCCAGATGGAAAGTGGCCTGCCAAATTCCTCTTACTGTGTAAAGCTGATTTCAAAGAGGGAAGTGTACTTGCGTTGTTTGGGGCGGGTGTACTTCATTTCTTTCAGAATCAGGAAAAACATTCGAAAGAGTCTTTTCAGCTATTTTTTTTCTGTTCCTACTCAAGGAGGAAAGATAGATTCAGATGGGTAGCTGTGTTGGTCTGAAGCAGCAGAATTCATTTATTAGGAGAAAATGTCAGTTTTCTAAGAGAAAAACACAATAGAAGTAATAGCATATAGGATTAAAGCAATGTTAAACGTAGTTTTTAATTCAGTCTTTTCAGATGTTCTGTTGATGCAAAGGGAATAATGTAATATGTAAGTAATACAACATTCATATCTCCCCCAGCTGAGAGATACACAAGATTGGGCTGTTTGTTGTCTTGCCTCATTGCATCCTACACTGTTTTCATAGAAACAATGCTAGAAGAGAACAGCGCTGCTGGGAAGGGAACCCCGGGGTGGGGTGGGGGAGACACACCTTTTTGCGAGGGGGCATGGGCGGGCGCCGGATGCCACTGGAAACGCTATCAGACGCCCGCCCTTGCCCCACGGTTATCGGAAACTAGTCCCTCGGAGGTACTAGTTTTTAACTGCGCATCTTTGGAGGGAAGCCTCGGGTTTGCCACGGGAGCTCTACGCTTCCCAGATGTTGCGGTGTGATCGCGCTCGGAAAATCCGCCTATCATCCGTCTCAGTAGCGTGGCTACTGCTCCGTGTGACCGCAGCCATAGTATTTGTATTTCCAGTGTTTGTATTTCCAGTATTCAAAGTAAGTTCTTTGCATAAATTGTCATGTTAAGCTTTACAACAACCCTATGAAGTAGACTACTATTACAGATTGGGGCAGGGTTGTTGTTTTTTTGGGAAAAGAGGTGCCAAAACTCTCAAGAGGGAAATGAGGTTTTCAACATCTTTCCCCTTTCTCTGGTTAACATGCTGGTTCAGATGATGATGAACACCGAGAGAGTTCCATCTATATTCGCTTGGACTGGTTATATCTCTCCATCCACAGAGGCTTCAGAGTGCTTTGCTGATCATCATTGACTGAAAAGCTAGTTTGTAATCTAGTTTGCCTATCTCTTCTCAGAGCAAGTATCAGAGTACTACCTTATGCTTCCAAGGTACTCCCTCATGGCCCATGATTTGCCCTCATTCAGGAAAGTGTAGCTGATGCAGATAATTTCCTTTCCTGGTCTCCCTTTTTGCCTTTGGCGCTCCCATGGGATCCGTTTGCAGGAAACCCACTTTGCATAGATATGTCATTAGAGATAGGTGCTGTGGTTTCAGGACTTGCCATTGTGGTATGGTGGATAGACTGCCAGACTAGGGGCCAAACCAGCGCTTCAAGTTCTCTGTTTGGGGATTTTCACATTAAAAAAAAATACAGTTATCATGTATGCAGAGGCCTGATTTGTATCAAGACCATGGTGTGAGGGGAGGTGATTTTAAGCCTTCCCTCTCCATTATCATCCCAGTCTAAATGAGTCCAGACAGGTAGTTGAATTAGTACCCATATTTTTGAAGGGTGGTGGTAAAGCATCTGGAGTCCACAGTGTATGACTTTGGCTTAGTAGGGTCATAATTGTACAGGCCTGCCTTCATGTGTTCTAGGCAGAATTCCCATGAAGCAGGCTTTGTTGGTGCTTGCTGTGCATCTGCAGTGATGTAATCTACACGGTGACACAAAAATATGCAGCCTCTTATTCAGGATTTAGGGGCAATTTTCTTTGTCAGCAATTGGAAGCACTGGTGGAAAGAAGCCTTGCATTCTATATAGTCAACTGTGGGACATCTGCAGATAGATAAATATGGATATTGGGCCTATGCTGACTAAAAGATAGTGCTGCAAACTTCGGAGACTCCCCAGGTTTACATAAAAATCTGAAAACACTTAAATTACTGGGGGGAGGGGAGAATCCTTCCTAAAACAAAAACTTTGCTTGCGCTTGTGCAAACAATGCATCTACCACTGCCTGCTCCTCTATCAGTAGGCCTGATGGCACAGGTGGCGGGGATGATGATGGTGGGGTGAGGCAGGGAGCCCTGGCAGGCCTAGCGATGAAGGATGGGTATCAGTGGGCTCACCTGCATGTGGCTAAGGTGGGGGGGGGAGCCATGGTGGTCCAGCTGCTGGCAGCAGTGATGGGGGGAGAAGCTGTAGCAGGCCTGGTGACAGAGGCTGACAGCTGCACTGAGCCTGGTGGTGGGTGGGAGCCTCACCAGGCCTGTCAGTGGTTGGGATGGGGGGATGGGGGGGGGAAGAAGCTGCCCTGGCCCCAGCAGTGTAGGCCATGAGCTGCTGTGGGCCTATCAGTGATGGGGGTGTGTGTCCAGGAGCTGTGGTGGCCCTAGCTGCTTGTATCTTGTAAATTTGTGATACTTGTCTTCTTAAATAAGATAACATAGTTATAGAAATATAGTGTAATGCATGAAGGAAAGCTTAAATATTTTTTGTTAGTATGAAGTCCAGGCAGCTGAAACATAGAGAGGCTGCCTTAGCTGTATATTTGTTGCAGGTATCAACACTTGTTTTACTTCTTCTAATGTACTCTACCTGCTCTTTTCTAAATGGGGACTTTGCATGTATGATATAGCTTTTTGCCCCATAGAAGGACTTAGTTTATCACTACTTCCCAGTTACAATATTTATCACAACAGGTATTTCTAGGTTACAAAACACGTATAATAGCCCTGTACACAGAGTGTGATTTGGGGCCATGAACATGCATTGTAGATCAATGAATCGCCACATCACTATCAGCAACATAACTACAATCAGTTAATATATGTTTATATACTATCAGTTGGTATTGTTTAACCTCGTAATTTACTGCTAAGGGATATGCTTTGCTTGAAAATCTTGTAATGGTTAGTTTGTATTTTGGAGAATTTTTAATTGTTCCATTCATTATTTTTTGGTCATCTTTTTCCTTAGCTAACTGTTCACCACCATGCCAAAATGGCGGGATGTGTTTGCGACCGCAGCTCTGTGTATGTAAACCAGGGACAAAAGGTAGCACTTGTGAGGATACTACAAAGCAAGAAACCACTTTACCTGGGGGACCAGGTCCTGTGACTCCACCATGGCCTATTCCTCAGCGATCTGTTCAGCAGACCTACTCAAAGAAGGTGCAGGTCCAACAAAAGGTCAATCCTATGGCCCAGATGACTTTCACACTGAAGCAAAAACCCTCTGGTGGATTACCACAGCAAATGCAGTCACAGTAAGTCCTTTGCCTTTACTCTGTTCAGAAAAAAAGCTTACTTTGAGGAACTAATTACTGTGTTTTGTTTATACTTGGTGACTTACTGTGCAATCCTGTGTAGAATTACTTAAATCTAAGCCAACTGAAATCAGTGCATTTAAACTGGAGTAACTCAGCATAGGATTCCTTTGAGGTCTTTTGTCTGTAATTAGGAACTAGGAACTCTCTTGATCCTTTCCCAGTGTTGAAGATGACGTGAATGCTGTGGTAAGTACTGAAAATGGTTTTCTCACAACTAGTGCCATATTAGTAAACTGTAGCTCAGTGCTTTTGTATGGGAGTCTTCCAGCACTATTGACAGCTGCTTACTGGAGGATGCTGTACTGGCAATTAGTGTCAGCCAACAGTTGGCAAAAGTTACCCTTATCATCTAGAGCAGTTCTGGTGGCCACTGCTGTTACCTTTGAATTGGGCCTCATTTTCACATAAGCTTAATTATTTGTTGCCTTATGTGGAGCTGTTCTTTGTTACAGCTGTGTTGCAGAAAAATAAGCAAGCACAGTTTTCATATATGTCAGTGTCAGACCCTGGGAGAGCCGCTGTAATCTTTAACAGCAGCGTACAAGGGAAACTGGATCACTGCAGTGAATGAACAAGCAAAGGAATGAAGGGAACAACATTTAACTGCTAAGATTTAACTGCTAACACTGTGTTCTGTGTTCATCCTAATTTAACATGGAAAAACATCCAGTCCTAAATTTTTGACCTTTTTTGAGAGTAGAAACTAAGATATGGAAGGAGAAGGATGTGGATGCATGGGATATACAGCATTCCTGTCACAGTGGTCCCTTATGCTCAAGCTGTATCCAGAAGGTGGATGATATATGAAGTAGCTTTAGTACTTTTTCTTTTGGCAAGAGTTCCCCAACCTTTGATTAGTATAAATAACTGCTCGTGTTAAATAGGATGAATTTAAGTGGGTTGAACTCTGTTTAGGCATAATGGATAATTATAGAATTATAATAGTAAGCAGGCTTTTGTGTTATATTTATGATGTACTTCATAAGTAGGAACATTTCAGAAACTAATTGGCAAAATTGGACTACTTCCTCTGTTCTAACAGACTTACCAGGATCATCTCATGTTTCACATTCAGTGTTCAGTTCTATTAAAGGGTCTGGATTCCTCTTCTTAGGCCCCGGTCACACGGGCAGGAAACTGCGGCTATTTGCCCACTTTTAGACATTTTTGCTGGGCAACAGAATCATGAATAACTGAGGAGAGTCACCTCATCAGTGCTCCTGAATGCCAGTGAAACTGTTCAGGGTGGGCTTCCAAGCTGTCGAGAACATGAACCTATCTAACCCCTTTTTAAGCCATCTGTGCTTGTGGCCGTCACTTTGTCCACTGCCAGTAAGTTCAACAATTTAATTATTTGTTTAATTATTTGTGGAGTAAAGAAGTATTTTCTTCTGTCTGTCCTGAACCTATTGCCCAGTTCTCCTATACTGTTTTCCTAAATGTTTAAAAAATCTTTTATAGTGTACGGCCTATGGGATTTTAAACCTAATAAACTGAACTGATTGCCCAATAGCTTCATTGGGTACCCCCCCATGTTCTAATATGAGAGACGGAGAAAAAGTTCTCTCTATTCATTTTCTCCTGGCCATTCGTAATTTACACCCCCCCCCAGTTGTCTTTTTTGCTAAACTGAAAAGGCCAGACTCTTCAGCCCTTCCTCATAGGAAGGGAGGTATGCCAACAGCTTAATCATCTTAGTTGCCTACTTCTGTACTTTTTTCCAGCTCTGTAATATCCTTTTTGAGATATGGTGACTGGAACTGAACGCCGTGTTCCAAACGAGGATGCACCATAGCTCTATACAAGAGCATCAAAATACTGGCTATTTTATTTTTAATTATTTTTAATACTTTTCCTAATAATCCCCAGTACTGACTTTGCCTTTTAAACAGCTTCACACATAGGTTGACAGAAATGCCAACTCTATCTATTGAAACCCCAAGATCTCTTTCAGTCTTAGTGCCAGCCCTATCAGCATGTATTTCATGTTAGGGTTTGGTGGTGGAAAGTGCCATCAAGTCACAGCTGACATGGTAATCCTCTAGGGTTTTCAAGGCAAGAGACATTCAGAGGTGGTTTGCCATTGCCTGCCTATGCATCATGATGACCCTGGTCTCCCATCCAAACACTGACCAAGGCTGACCCTGCTTAGCTTCTGAGATCTGACGAGATTGGGCTAACTTGGGCTATCCAGGTCACGGCATGCATCACCTTACACTAACATTAAGCTTCATTTGCCATGTTGTTGCCCACTCACCCAATTTAGATAGATCCTCCTGTAGCTCTTCACAACTTACTTTAATTTTCACCAAATAATACTAGAATGACCTGGAGACCTACATGACTTCAGTTACATGGGACAATCATAAATTTCCCCCTATAGATGGATTTAAATATATTCGCTCCTTAAAGGGTTCTCTTTTTCATATGCTTGGATATTGTCTTTTGGAGGTAATGAAACTTTATTTGCTCTGCTGTATTAACTTGCTATATTTTATGTAGATCTTTATGGAATCTATATCTTGCTACGTGACTCAGAAGAGCCCTCAGGGAAGCTTACAGTATGGAAATACTTACAAAAACATCCAGATAAAATATACCATATTAATAGGCAATTCTAATCAGGTCTACTCAGAAGTCCCATTTTATTCAGTGGGGCTTACTTCCAAGAAAGTGTTCTGAGGGCTATATAGGACTTGTATAACAACCAAGATTCATACACTGAAAAATAAATAATTTAACAAATCATAGCAGACAGCTGTGTACAACTGAAAAAGAGATCACAAATAACAATGCTACTTTCTTGCTGAAACAAATAACAGAATAGTATTTCACTTGCCTTTTAAAAGCCAGTTCAGAGTGGACTTGATTCTGCGTTGTTGGGAGGAGACTCCATAGTGAGGGCCTTGCCCCTTGTGCCAGCTAGCCTGACTTTACACAATCCAGACAACTTTGTGCTGTGAACAGAATGATTGTAGGCAAGAATTAAAAATATTGTTTTCAAAATATTTTCTGTCTCTTCAGAGTTTTTTTTAAACTACTATAGCTTTAAACTTGTATAGAAACAGCAAAAGAGTCAGGGTCAGCCAGACAGCTGTATGTAGGAGAAAATGTATAAAACGTACAAATAAGACATATGAAGAAGGAGAACAAAATTGAGTTAGTTGCATTGGAAAGCTTTTTTTTTTTAAAGGTTGCTCAGCATTTACAAATCTGCACCAACTAACGACAAAGATAAGGAGTTGGCTGGACATTGTTAGAAGTCATCTAATCATTTTTTAAAAGTCAGAACGAATCCTGCCTCTGGGTCTGTCAGCCAGCCTTTGTACTTTTACAGTTTTGTTTTACTGTTTTAAAAGTATCTGCCTGTTTGGTGCTGTTATCAAAGACTAACACAATCGGAGGAAATTGACTCCTTGTGGGAAGCAGTAAAAGTTACTGCAAACATAACTGTGCTTAATGTACACACTGAACAATTAATGAATAATATCTCCCCTTTGGTGGCTTTTTAACGTATTCTGATCTCAGGTGTTGCATATAACTATTTGAAGCTAGGTGGGAGCGGTGTTTTTTTTAATATTCAGCTTCTCTTCATGTATTTTATGCTGATTTTGTTTAAGTCTTCCAAAGGCAGCCCTCAGTGTTCAATCAGGAATTTAATTAAGTGGTTGGTTTTTAAACAGTATTTTGGTCTGTAAACTATTATTTTAAACTGTCAGTGGTCAGTTTTTATGGCATGTTTTTATGCTGGGCTAGTGATTTTTTAATGCTGAATTTTAAGTAATGTCTTATAACATTTTGTCTTTGTTATTTTTATTTTGTTAGCTACCTTGGGCAGGTTCCTGGAGAGGAGGCATAAAAATGTTCTCAACAAATAAATAATATATACTTATAGACTATGAACTGAAAAATGGTAGACTGTAGGAGAATTGTTTTGAACAGGCTAGGGAACCCTAAGCACCTCCATCCAATAAAGAAAGATTATAGGATTGGATGATGTGGCTTTTTTGTGTTTCTAGGATGTAGACTGATTCTATCCGTGTTGCAGCTTGATGTGTTATAGAGAACAGTTGTGATTTTTTTTTTACAGTGTGGCAAAATCTCAGACACAGGCGCCTAGTAAAACTGTCAAACTACATCACCACTGCATGTAAGCAGGATCAGTTATGTGAGAATCAGCCTTTGGTAATTTCTGTGAAGGAAGTCCCTGGTTTCATCTGTGGTGTCCCCAGTTAAATGATTTCATGTAGTGGATGCATGCAGGCACTTTGATCCTCTGTAAAGGGAGGTTTCCTTCATGTATACAGTTTTTCCCTTTCATATGTCCCCCTACTCAAAGATTGGAATGGGAAAGCCATTGCTTGTGCACACCCAAGGTTTATACAAGTGGGTTCAGTTGAAATTAATAAAATTTGAATTCTGTGTGTCATCTTTAGGATTTACAGACTGGTCTTCCAAGATTATAATCCTGTTCCAAGCTGCTAAATCTGTAATGGAGGATTCATATCTTGAGTGAGAGAAAATGATTGTCCCTAAATTAGGTGCTATGTTTTTCTTTCAAATCAATGATCACAATAATAATTTTAAGAAGCACTGGACTTAGAGGGTTTATTTAGATAATAGTGTCTTCCACTTGCAGTGACATCTGGAACAGGTTGGTGCATACTTCTTTCTTGACCCCCTTCACTCTGTCTCATCACACACAGAAGGTACCATGCAAGGAGAACCTACATTCATATCTAGACAGACTTTCCTGGTTATATTATATATACAACTGAAGCAGCAAAGAAAGGAGCATGAGCACAAAAGTTTAGAGAAGATCTAAATAACTGACCCAGACTTGAAGAGTGGGGTTTATGTCTTATGTTGTGATTTGAAGAAAGGAAGTTTCCTCAGAATTGAATTGAATTAAGTTAAATTAAAATAGATTTAGAACA